ATCTTTTATTCCAATTTTCTTCAGTGTATGTACATTGAATAGATGTTGGATTTTATCAAATGTTTTTTGTGTCTATTGAGATTATCATGTGATTTTTATCCTTGCTTCTCTGTAGGTGGTATGCTACATTTATTGATTTGTGTATGTGGAACCATCCCTGTATCCCTGGGATGACAATTGGGTCATGGTATATAATCTTTTTGATGATTTGCTGCATTCTGTTTGCCAGTATCTTATTGAGGATTTTTGCTTCTGTGTTTATTAAAGATGTGGCCTGTAGTTTTCTTTTGGAGTTAGGTCTTTTTCTGATTTTTGAACCAGGTAATGTTTGCTTCCCTGAATGACGTTGAAAGTACTGCCTCCCTTTCCATTTCTTTAAAGAGTTTGAGGAGTACTTAGAGTTTTGTCTAAACTTCATGTGTGATTCAGCAGTGATTCTGTCAGAACACGGGCTTTTCTTAGTTCGTAGCTTTTGTATTGCCTTATTTCTGGTAGTATTGGCTCATTCAGGATTTTTGTACCTTCTTGGTTCAGCTTTGGTAATTCATATGTATCTAGGAATCTATTCTTTTCTGCTGAATTCTTCATTTTATTGAAGTACAGGTTCTCTAAATAGCTGATGATGATCTGGATTTCTGTATTGCAGTTTCACTTTATTAAATGTATTTAGTACAGGATCTACTGGGTCTCATTACACAAATCAGACTTGCAGTGATCCCCTGTTTTCAGCCTCCCGAACACTGGGATTACAGGAGTATGCCCCCACGCCCAGGCTCATTTACAGTCTCAGTGCACCCCGAGGATCAAACCCTGGTCCCTGTGTCTGCCTAAGCGGGTGCTTTAATCTGCTGAGCTTTCTGGCTGGCCCTACCTTTCTCATTTCTAACAGTTTCTCTATTTTGTTTATTCATTGAAAGAACCAATTCTTCAGTTCATTGCTTGTGTGTATTTTAAAATCTCAATTTAATTAATTTCTACTCTGATCTTTGTAATTTTCTTTTTTTGGACTTCTAAGTACAAAAGGATTGCTCCTGTTTTTTTCTGGCACCTTGTGGTACATCATTACATTATTTATTTAAATTTGCTCTGTTTTGCTGAAGTGAAAATTCACCATCATAAACTTCCCTCTCAGGACTGCTTTTGTTGTCTCATAGGTTTCCAAATGTTGTACTGGCACTGTAGTTTGATTATAGGAACTGTCCGGTTTGTTTTATTTCATCTGTGACTCATTTAAGAGGTTTTTGTTCAATTTCCATGTGTTTTCATAGTTTATGTGGTTTCTTTTGCCATTGATTTCTAGTTTCATTGCAGTATGATCTGATTATATGGGTAGGATAATTTGGATTCTTATGCATTTATTTAGGAATCTTTTATGGGCTAGTATGTGGTCCATTTTGGAGAGAGTTTCATGTGCTGCTCTTGTTGGATGGAACACTGTAGATGTTGAAGTAAGTCCCTATGTTTGAAGGTTTGATTCAATTCTTGCATTTCTTTGCTGATTTTCTTGTCTGGTTGATCTATGGATTTGTAACACAATTTTATTTTATGAAGTTGGGTGTATTTGATGTGCATATTTTTCCCTTAGCCAATACATAGTGATCTTTGTCTCTTCTAATCAGTTTTAGCTTGACAACTATTTTATCTGAAATTAAAATAGCTACTCCTCCTTTTTTCCAGATTCCTAGTGCATAGAACATTGTTTTCCATCCTTTGTGTTTTAATCTCTGAATTTCTTTTTGAATTAAATGTCTTTCTTGTATACTGTATTTTATTGGGTTTTGTTTCTTGATCTAGTCTGCCAGTATGTGTCTTTTGATTTGGGCACTGAGAGTGTTCACATTGAGAACTATTATTGAAAGATAGTAACCTAGTTCATTATTGCATTATTTTTCTGTTGCTGATTTCCATATTTTTTTTTCTTTTGCTTTGTTGCTCATCCCACCAGGTTTATTTATTCTTTATGACTTATTGGTATTGTTGGCTTCATTGTCTCTTTAGGCTATCCTTCAGAATTTTTTGTAATGCTGGTTTAGTGATTATGAATTTCTTGTAGTGCTTCTTGTCATAGAAATACTTTATTTCTCCATAAGTTTCAAAGGGAAGTTTTGCAGTATATTTACTTTGGAGTTGGAATTTTCATATATGGCTGGAAACATTTCAGTCAAAGCCCTCCTGGCATTTTAAGATTTGTGTAGACAAGTCTTTTGTAATTCTAGTTGGCTTGTCTTTATATGTGAGTCATTGCCCTTCTCTAACAGCTTGTAACATTTTGTCCCTTTGTGAATTTCTGTTGCTTTGAGTATAATGTAGCATGGAGAGGTTTTCTTCTGATGATGATGGCTATTTGGTGTTCTATATGTCTCATTTAACTGTATGTTTTTATCTTTCCCTATATTTGGGAAGTTTCTGCATTATTTCTCTGAATAAGTTTTTTATTTCATTTGTATTTTCTTCTCCATTAAGGTCACAGAAAATTGTTCCTTGAAACTCTCTCTCTTTGCTTGGTTCTATGCAGCTCTCTGATTTATAATCAGCCTTCCAAGGTGTTCAGCACCTTGTGTAGTAGGATGAAAGATTTCTGATCATCAGAGCAGAATGTATTCCTAGTATGTGTTAGTATATTTCCTGTGGAGTGAGTACATGCAGTCCGTGAGTGTGTTTTATTTAGATCAGCCTGTCTGGGCCCAAGTCTAGGATACTGACAGTGCTGAAGCTGTTTTTCTAATAGTGGTCAACTTACAGAGTTGATATCACCTTCTGAGACCTTTCAGAATAGGGATATATGAGAACAACTCAATCTCATTAACTCCTTCCTTCTGCCCACTTTCTAATGTTCCTTCTTTTTGGAGTTACTTAAAAATATAGAAGATTTCTAGCAGTTTATAAATATAATAAGTGCAACATTCAAACCCACCTTAAAAGTAAAGTTAAAATAAAGGTAGTCACTTTTGCTACATAATATAGCTTGACAAGGTAGGAGCATTTGTATTCTGATATTGTTCCCTTTTTGTCTTTTTGGTTGGCAGAACTCTTCCATGTGTTTTCCTTGGTCAGTGAACCATACCGACTGTAGCTCAGTCATCCAAGCCAGAAACCTGGGCATATCCTTGATTCTTACCTCTTCTTTGCTAGCCTTACCTGTCACCAAAGTCCTCATCCTTATAGTCTCAGACATGTTTGTTCTCATTCTGTGTCTTGAATTTTTACCTAAGTAGTTGTAGTTTAAAAGTATCTTTTGAATACATAACTCAATTTTTTCTTCTTTTAAAATTATTTTATTAATTATTATTATTATCTTTATTAATTCTGCATGTGTGTATCTGGTAATCTGAACAAATAATTTGAAGGCAATATTATGCAATATAGCAACCATTTTTGAATTCCTATTATTTTGTGTAGTGAAATTCTGTATTATTTCTAAGGGTTTTTTTTAAACTATTTTTTTAACATTCTTTTTAAGAGATAAATTTTTTTTTTTTGGTACTGGAGATTGAACTTAGAACCTTGTGCTTGCCAGGCAGGGGCTTATGTCACTGAGCTATCTCCCTGGCCCCTAAAAAAAATTTAAAGAAAAGAAAACACAAGCCTAAAGTTGTTACTGTCCTACCTTTAACCATTAGGTGACTTGTTTTCTTTGTAATGTAAAGTTCTTCCTAAAAGTCTGTTCACAGACCCTTTTCTCTCCTTCCCCTCAACACACACTCTCTGGTCTTGCTTACCTGGCTCACCTGATGATTTAATTTCTGTGTGTTGACATATGCCATGCATATGCTCCTCACACACTTACCTTGACTTGTCACAGGATTGGACTCCTGTGTACACCCCCGCCATTTTGATATACATGACATCATTCTCTTTGGACTTTCCTTTCACAACTTTGGAATTTCCCTCAGTATTTCTGCTGGACATTCCTCTAGTGAGCCTTTGCATGTTAGACTTGCTTGGGGTTTATTTTAGGTTCTGTTTTCCCTCTTAAATGTAAATTTAGCTCTGCCCTATATAGCAGTTGTTTGCTTTGCTGTAAGAATTTTTTTTTTAAGTGAGCAAGAGAGTTGGATAAATATCAAATAACAGTATCTTTTGTTGTAGCTATTTGATCCCCAAAGGAAAGTATGTGTATCTACAGTTTCACCCAGTAAGAACCAGTATGATACACCAAAAGCACGAGTCTCACCACTGTGGAAGCTGACCTCTGCGTGCTCTTTCTTCACTTGAAGGGGTCACGTTCTACAGTGCTCAGCTCTTCTATTCTACTCTCCTTTTGCAGTTGTACAAAAAGATTAGATTTTAGCAATCCTCAAAAGGCTGCTTCTTACAATTCATCCAGTGTATTAGCCCTACCTACACATTGTACTAAGTTACATAGAATGAGTTGGTAGAAATTAGGGCAAATTTTGTTTCTTCATTTAGAAAATAACTCTTCTTTGGAATAAATTTGAGTTCATACATACCATGACCATTACAGATAAAAGCCCTGCTGCAAATGATTCTTTATCAACTAAGGCCAGAAATATTTTCAAAGGGAAGCATGATTGAGCAACCAGATGTTACCTTAAACTTCTCAGTGATGAAAGACATGCCAGATGCTCACTGGAATCATTCCACCTGAATAGCTGGCTCTTCCTGCTGTTTCTTGACATTCCATTTACAATACTCAAAAGATACAGTCATTGATAGTAATAAAAGTAGGAGTCTGTTGGGAATGCTATGTCAGTATTAAAGAAGTGGTATATGAATATGTAATAACCTTTCCAGAAATGAATCAAAATTGCTATCATAAAGAAGAAAATTTAACCTTTAACCTAGTTAATTTTTCAAGGGAGATTAATATTGCAATAGGTTTTTACAGTAATTGAACATAATCAAAATATTTTCATTTGCAGCTTGCCTCTAATTGGTATGTAGAACAGAAATTAGGAACTGTCCCTTTAATAAAACACTGTTTACCTATCCTCCTTTAGTGGGAGGGGCTTAGAAACCTGTAGAGTGAGGTGTAACTTCCAGTTCTTCATTCTGACCTGCTGCTTGGAAAGAGTGCTAATATTACAAACCAGGAAGCAACAAATACTGTACTTCAAACTACACTAGGACCTGTCTTTTACAAGGAAAAGCTTCTTATGAATAACTAGGAAATTGAAGCAGTGATTTTGCATAGTTGTCATTAAATATTTGAAGCTCTGCTGTGGATAAAGACTTTGCAGTGTATTTGGAATACAAAACTTTCTGGGCCAGAAGTTGATCTGCTGACTTTTGAGCTTTATCTGATTACCACTTGGTTCATCTTTATTGTTGTTAAATGACTCTGTAGGCTGAAGAAGTGAGACTCTACTTAATTTACAGGTAGGTGGTCAGTTTTTGTTTAAACTTTATGTTGGTTTTTAAAGATTACTTAGGTAGATTAGTTTTGCTGCTGATTATTGAAAACATTAAGAATATCAGGCTTAGCATATTTTAATGTTTGAATATTCAGAATGATTGTAAATAACCACATTTTTATGACAGCTTTTTAAAAAAGTCATTTTTAACAAATTAGCAAATCAACAATGTGGTTAAATTAAATGAGTTTTGTTTCACCTTACCTGGTTACATCTATGTACCTACTTAACTACCTACCTGCTATTAATCACTAGGTCCAAGAGTATATGGAATTATCCTGTTACCTTCATAGTATTCGTTAAGAATTTTTAAACTTGTATTTATATTATCAAGTAAAAATCGCATTTCTGTGGTTAGCAAATTTCAGTTGATTTCTTTCATTTATTTCACTGTTAGTAAGCTGTATTAATATTCATCATTAGTTTATTTGTTTGCGTCTGCCTATCTTTGGAAATACTTTTTATTTGAGAAAATTTTTTATGACAGGTTAATCTTACTCAAGTAAATTGAAATATCTGCTTGCTCCTCTTTATAAAACTAACCTTTCTTTTATGACCTCCTTCCAAAAAAAAACAGTTCAAAGATAATTTTACCACTAATGTTCCTTTTAATTCTTTGGAAATTGTGCTTCAAAGATGTTGCCCTAATAAAAGTGATTATTTAAATAGTAAATAGTAAATAGTAAAACATTACTGTGTTTTAGATCTACATTATTTCTAACAAGAGTTGATCAGGCTGTGTTATTCACTTTAGGTTAGTATAATTCAGCTCAAAATAAAGAGATTCACTGTTTTAATTGGCTAAATAACTTTATTGTAGGTAACTGTTAAGATTTTTTGATGTGAATTTTTATCAACTGCTCCTGTAGTGTCCTAGTAATGTGGGCCTGACAGACTGGGAACCAGCAGTCTAAAGTGCAGAAATTTTGTTCTGAATCTCTTTGAGGTTCTATGAAAGTTAATAAGGGTCATCAGGTATAATGTGACAAACAAAGATAATCATAGCTGCTGGAAAGAAAAGGAGAGAAACAAAGGGAAATGATACTTATTATAGGGAATATTGTTGAAGAATTCATGGCATGTGTAACTTTTGGTCCCAATAGGTTTATATTTATCTAAACAATTTCCTAATTTTGAAATTTTTGCTCCAAGTAGGTTAATAAACTATTACTGACTTCAGACCACATATGCTTATGTTCATGTGTATTTTTAATGTTGATTTCCTTCTCCTCTTCTTTCCCATATCCCTTCTCCTTCATAGCTTTCCTTCAGCTTGCTAAAAAGCCTTCTCTGATCAACCTGATCCTCAGTGATATTTCCTTCTTTTGGACTTTCATATTGTGTTATTTCTACCAGCACTTGAGGACATAAGCATACACTGTCATACTTTACTTCAGAATGTTCCCTGTCTCTTCATTGAAGTCATTTCATTTCATTAGAAGTTTTTGTAGGGTCAAGAACTTAATTTCTATATCATTTTTACACCATTTAGCATCTAGTGCAGCCATACACATTTGGTAGATACTCAGTAAATTGCTGTAATGTGAGCAAAAGAAATAATCTTGTTGACAACTGTATCCAGGGTAATGCTGCTTCCCTCTAATTTGCTTAATTGTATGTAACTATAACACTAAAACTCAGACTGTTATCATAATATTATTGTTTTTGTTTAGCTATGTAATACATGAGTTTATTATACTTGGTGATTTAAACACTGACTGATACATGTTACCTGTAATACAAGCTGGACATCTAAATGAAAGGAAATATTATAACATCCAACTTCTTGCTTTTTGTATTTCAGGAAAATATAATTTAAAGTGTACTGGTAAATAAAATTCTAGAAACTGTTCAAATATTCAGATATGTTATGGTTGAAAACTGGGTTCTGAGATATTTAGGACTTTGAATAGTCATAGGAAGCTGGTTGTATTAGAGGTCAGTAATTGCAAGAAACTATGAATAAACTATTTTATAAAAAGAAAGTTTTGACTTTTCCTTTACAATAGTTATTTATCACATACATAAAAACCATCATTTGGTAGGTGAGGTGGCATCGCATCTGCAGTCTCAGCTACTCAGGAAGCCGAGGCAGGAGAATCACTTGAGCCCAGGAGTTCAAGACCAGCCCAGGCAATAAAGCAAGACCCTGTTGAAAAACATTTCATCTATTTCTTGTATTAGTTCTGTCAATTGGGCTTTGTTAACTTCACTCTTATAGGAAATGGCAGGATAGAAAGGTTACAAAACTACAAAAACCAGACTTTCAGTAGCTGTGTAACAGAATGCTTTGATATCCATGTATGTGTTTTGAATCACTGGTATAACCACTGTCTCTGTCTCTGTCTCTGTCTCTGTCTGTGTGTCTCTCTGTCTGCCTCTGCCTGCCTGTGTCTCTATCTGTCTCTGTCTCTATCTCTGTCTCTGTCTGTCTGTCTCTCTCTCTTTCTCTGTCTGTTTCCCTCTCCTGCCCTCTCCTCTCCTCTCCCCTCCTCTCCCCTCCCCTCCTCTTCCCTCTCTCTGTACTGGGCATTGAATCCAGGTATGCTGAGCCGTATTCTCAATGCTTATTTTAATTTTATTTTGAAACAGTGTCTGGCTAAGTTTACCAAGCTGACTTCAAACTTGTGATCCTCTTACCTCAGGCTCTGAAGCACCTGGGATTGTAGGTGTGTGCCCATATATGAAAGGTATACTGTTGTTTATATTTTTAAATATTCAGTGTGATGTTTCTGTCATTTTAGAGTCTGACCAGACAGGAATTCTGGCACCTGCTGCAGCAGAATTATGGCACAGAGCTAGGTTTAAATGCTGAAGAGATGGCTAACTTGTCACCGTCCTTTGAAGATAATGTGCAGCCAAGGTACAGCAAATGTCTTGAGCTCTCAAGACTTATGAACCATTGGAGTGGGATTATTTTAGATTATTAGATTCTGCTAATTCTGAATTTATATTAATACACTCTTGGTGCACTTTGCTTCTGTTCTCTGTTGTGGAATGGGGTGAAAGATGGGAACAGGGAATAATTTGCTGAACAGGTAAACAAATACTGGACATATAAGGAAGTGTTAAACATATAGTGGTTGGGGGCCGGCGAGATAGCTCAGTGGAATAAGCACTTGCTTAGGGACCAGGGTTCAATCCCTGGCACAGGGACCAGGGTTCAATCCCTGGCACCACATGCTGTGCTGGTCCCACCCTCGGGAGTGCTGAATGGGCCACTGAGACCAGGTGTGCTGGTGCATACCTATAATCCCAGATCTGGGGAGGGTGAAAGCAGGAGAATCACTACAAGTCTGAGTTGCATAGTGAGATCCTGTACCAAATATGTTTAAAAAAATACCTATTTCTATATATCTGTATATATAACTAACTTGATCTGCTTCAAGTTGGTTAATTAAAGATCCGGAGAAGTATGTGGTACATCTCTGGGATTATAGATGACAGTAAAGTAAATTAAAGCCAGGTTTGGTGGTACAAATTTATAATCCCAGTGCTCTTGGAGGCTGAGGCAGAGAGATTGCAATTTTGAACCCAGCTTGGGTGCAGGACCTTGTGTAAAAAAAAGTTTGGGGATGTAGCTCAGTATAAAAGCCTTGGGCCCTGGAAAAAAATGTTAGATGGTAGGTGTTTTGGGAGATACAATGATCGGCACTCAGTAAGTATTAAATACATTAATGAAAAGAGCTTATAGTATTGTGGGAATGCAAATAATTATACTATATGATAATAGCCACCAAAGAGTAGTAAATAATATAAATAAACTAAAGTAGAGAAAAAAAATTTTTGACAGGTTTTTTATTAGCTGGTACAAGTAAAAGTACATTTTTTTCTTTTCTTTTCTTTTTTTTTTTGTACTTTAGGGGAGGGTCTACAGGGTATTCAGGGTCTCACTACTAGATTGGATGCATAGTGATCCTCCTGTTTACAGCCTCCCAAGAGCTGGGATTACAGGCATGCACCACCACATCCAGTCTCAATTGCCATGTCAGTGTGCCCCGGGGGCAGGGCCAGCAAAGCAGGCCTGGGGATCGAACCCCTGGCCCCTATGTCTGCTTGTAGGCACTTTAATCCACTGAGCTATTTGGCCGGCCCTAGTAAAAGTGCATTTTGTGCAATGGAAATAGAGACTATTGCAATAAAAATAAATAGTATAATTCATTACATTTTTGTAGCAAACATGCCAAGTTAAAGAGTCCAGTAGCAAAAGACCATATACGTTATTGTATAATTGGTTGTATATGAAATTGAGTCCAAAATCCACAGAGAAAGTGAATTCCAGTTGCCAGGAGCCAAGAGGGAGGGACGAAGAATGGCAATGACTGCTAAAAGGTCTGGATTTCTTTTTGGGGTGGTGAAAGTGTTCTAAAATTAGATATAGTGATGACTGTACAACTCTGCAAACAACAGAATGGTATACTTCAAGTTGAGTGAATTTTATAGGATGTGTCTTGTTACTTAAAAATCTATAGCAGATAAACATTACAGAAGAAATAGTTAGAAAGTCTCAAAGTATGTACAAAAATTTTACTCATTTAGGTCGTTTCCTCGTTATACTGATCCTATTGATATCGCTTCAGCTTAGCATTAATATTTTATACTCTTTTTCGCATGGTAGCATATGCATATTTTATAAGTTTTCTGTAAAGTTAAAAATTTCCATTGTAAAGTTTATTGGTTTCTCTCAGGTATTGGAACTGGATAGGAAAGAAACTGTTCTAATGTAGAGAACCTGTACATTGGGTTGTGGTAAACAAGATCTGTATTCTAATTGGGGCCCTCAAATAGGTGAACAACCTCGGAAAAATCTTTTACCCTTTCCATTTCTCAGTTTACTCATCATGAAATGAGGCAGTTGAACTAGCTCATCAAGGTCCTGGCTAACTGGAAAAGTTTCTAGCCTTTGAAGAAGAAAAAGATAACTATTTTCAACCAGGGGCTTCATATATGAAGTCTTAGGAACAGTTTTCTGAAGTTATTAGCAAAGTTTTATTTTGGTGACTGAGTACTTTTTTTTTTTTTTCTTTTGAGATAAGGTCTTGCTATGTGTTTCAGGCTGGCTTTGAATTTGCTTAGGCTGACTTTGAACTCATGGTGATTCTCATGCCTCCACTTCCTGAGTGATGGGATTACAGATGTGTGCCACCATGCCCAGCATGTACTTTCTAAGAAAATAATGTGGCAGGATCTTCAGTCCCTGTTCTACTTCTTTCCCCTTTTTGCAGTCTCTGAAAGAAATATATGTTTCAAACCTGTGTTTCATTGGCTCTTCCCTAGTTTTTCTTTTCACTTTCAGTTTCTCCTTCCCCCTCCCACCTCTCTTATTCTCTCTGTATTTTCATCCTCACTTCCATCCTTCAAAATCTGACAGCATGGGTAGTCGGCTGGCGTGCTCTTCCAAGGGTCCATTCTCTCACAGCCCCATCATTCTGCCTAGATTGCAATGACCGACAGTAGCCCTAAATGTCCTTTGGGCAGACTAAAATAGAGTTGAAATACCTTTGGCTTTTGTAGTCCTTCCTCAAGATAATATTGCATAATATTTTAGGCTGCTTCTTTAGAAGAGTTTTAAGTGTATATAACCATGATTGTTTGGAAACAATAATCGCCTGATAAGGTTGAGCACTGGAAATTAGATCCGGTATGCTCCTTTCATATTTAGAAGCTTGTCTTTCTTTCTGTACCTGAGAAGGAAAAGCAGATCCTAGGACACTTGTTGTAATCTTGGCCCTATCATCATTTGGAAGCTATTGCTTACACCTTCTTCAGTTTGAAAGGATCTAGAGGGGCCTGACTGATTGATGGGCTCTTTGCACGGACAACATCAGGAGGGATTCGCCATCTCAGCTGGCCCTTGAGTCAAAACGAAGGAGGCGTAGGACTGCCTTACCGGGATGTGACGGGGGCTGTGTGGCAGAACACCTGCCTTATTCTTATGAGGCCCTGTGTTTAATCCTCATCACTGCAAAAACAAGTGAATAAACAAAGCAAAAAAGCTGTCTTCTCATCCTGATTAGTATCCAACTCAATCTCCTTGAATCTTTCCAAGCTGCATGGTTGTCCACAACCAAAATTTAAACAAGCAATATCCATTTTATTAGCTACTGTTGTGGCCACTTTTACTTCTTTAGTTCCTAAAATTTATAGAATTTCATGAGTGTATCTGATTTATTTTCAGGAGTGAACTTGACTTGCATATGATTTAAGAAGAGACCTTTGTTATTAGAGGTTTATCTGTACATTACAGTAAACTATTTGTTGTCAAAATGATTTGTAACAAAAGAGGACCTCTGTGAGGGACTCATCACTTATTTGTAGAGGGGGAGCTTATAGTTCTCTGATAATACGATGCTTCTTACAGAAGTCCAGCAAGAAGCAGTGTGGACGACTCTGGGGAAGGAGATGAAAAGGGACTCAAGGTTGTCAGTTCTACTCATGAATCAGTCAGTCAAGTTTCAGACGCAGAATCGTTGGGTGGAAATTCATCAAAAGGGGTTAGTATACACTGCCCTTTAAAAAATGTATCTGATATTGCCATATGTTAATCATAATGTAAAAATACAGTGTACAAAATATTTAAACACTTAGGATATCAGGCTGCTATTATATTTTCAAAGATAAGATTTAAGTCTCCATGTATGAGAGGTTACATATGGGGAAATACATTGTTTTTGTTCCGGGCTGGATAAAGTGCAGAGCCATCAGGCTGTCCCCTGAGCAATATCTATAAGGAGGATAAATATTATTTAAAAATTAAAAAAAATATAGTAATGTGTAATGGGTAAGGTTTTCCCTAGGCTGAGTAGTGTGTGGCGGTGGTGAACGAGGAGCTGGGTCTTTGAGCAGCCAGCTTGCTTTCTAGGCCCTGCTACATAAGCTGTTTCATCAGGAGGCAGGTGCTGTTTTGCCTACTGGGCTTTATAGTCGGCCAGGTTCTTCCTTTTTTCAATTATTGTGTTTTCAAGTACCATTGTGTGTTGTTTTTTATTTTTATTTATTTTTTTTAGGAACTGGGGATTGAACTTAGGCCCCTGCGCTTGCCAGGCAAGTGCTTATTCCACTGAGCTGTCACCCTGGTCCCTTATTTTAAAGTGTGTTGTTTTTAAATGTCAGTGAGTTTCAATCACTTTGAATTATTATTATTATTATTATTATTCTCAGTTTGGTCTCTGCCAACGAGAGCTCCTTTCTCCAGAACGCTCTTTTACATTTTACAAATGACCAATAATATTTGACTACTCCTTTTCTTTTTGGCACCACAGCCTGTTCCACACACTTAGTGTAGTTTTCACTCCAGACTTAGCATCAGTCAAATTTTCCTAGGGAGTCATTTTCTTAGTGAAGAATAATATAAAAGACCACACTCAGAGCACTAAGATTACTTCTGTTGTACAGCTTTTGTTCTCCTGGCAGGAATCCAAGTTGGGGCCAAAGCTGAATTTATTGCTTTGAAGCACGGCTTTGGTTTAAAATTCCACTATGTTACTTTTACTATATGACCTTAAATAAGTTAATTTAATTTCTTAAACTCACCTTTGTTTTTCTAACAATAAAATGGGGATAATAAACTTCAAGGATTTTCAAAACAAGGATTAAATGAATGTATTTATTCACTGAAAGCAAGCAGTGGTCCTTTTCTCCCCGGTCTGGGGAGCTCCCAGTATGTCCTCTAAGTAAATGTTGAGAACACCGAGAAAGTGAACACATTTATGTGAAAGGCCCACACAGTATAAACCTGTCTTGGTCAGCCATCAGCCCTCATGCCTCTACCTCAGTCTGGTTTTGTGCTGTGGGCTTCTTGAAAAAACTAGGCATCGAGGGACATCGAGGGACTTACCATTGGTGCAAGAAATATAATTCTGTGTGTTAATCTCTGCATTTTCTCACTGAGAAGATGAAGCCTCTTCACTTGGGGGAAGGTAACACGATAGGGGATTTCTTGCAGGCTCCTTGTCCTTTTACAAACATTGGACTTTGAAGACTGGGTTCTCAGTACTGTCACCCTCTGCTTGAGTCCTTTACATAATCTGGCAATTTCTTCTGTACCTCTTCTTGGAGTAATTAACATGTTGGTTTTTGCTTTTAGTTTGTTTAGTTTTTGTTTTTTTGAGATAGGGTTTCACTGTGGTTTAGACTGTCCCTGACTGAACTCACGGCAATCTTCCTGTCTAAGCCTCCTGAGGGCTGGGATTATAGGCCTGTGCCACCATGCCTGGCTTGTCTCTAGTTTTGTCAATAAATAAATAAATAAATAAATAAAAAGAAAAAATCATATTCCCTCTCAAAAAGGAACAGAATGTGAAAGAATAACACTGTTTTAAGACCAGTCATACATTTATTGATGTTTAGTTTAGATATTTTCAGTTTATGGAATACATGTTACATAGAATTTTGGTTCTTTTAATTTTATTCATTCAAGAACAGGGGGAACAATCTGCTAGCACCCACCTCCTGTCCCTCTCTTGGACAGGAGCTTTATTTCTCTCAATAAATATATTCTGCTCATAAAAAAAAGAACAGTATGGTTGTGTGTTACTTTATTTTAATTTCACTTTCAACAAAGTTAGAAATAAATCAGAAATAATATTTTTGAAGATAATGAATTTTAAAATTACACAATGAATACTGTCTATAAAATTTTCTGAAAGATAAAAGAACATTTAAGGAAATAAAAGTCATCCAAATACCAACTACTAAAATAGTGACTATTTTTCTTATACTCATCTATCTGTATTTTTTTTATACTAAGAGATATAATTTAATTGGCAACAGGACAAGAAACATAAGTGTGGAGCTACAGAGGATTGGACTCTAGTTAGCATCTATTAAAGAAGCCTGGGTCATCTACTAAGGAAGCACATGCTTTAGAATGTGCACGTCTCCACTGTGTCAGCTCTCCATTGGTGCAGTACTCTCTGCTTGAGAATATGTCCTCTGATTAGCATAGGCTGAAGCTTTAATCAGCTGTGTCCTGGGTCCCAGTTGTTGTTCTACTTTCTCAGTGGCCAGTGGGAACCTGTATCCTCCCTGGAGCTGCTTCTATGTTCCTTGCTGCTTAGGGATCTCCTGGGGCAGAGAGTGTAAGGATTATACCAAAGTGTTCTTGCATCCATTTCACAAATGAAACATTGTATACATGCATAGAGTATAAGAAAATACTTTGCAAAAAATAAATAAATAAATAAATAAAATAAAAAAGAAAGTACTTTGCCATGTAGTTCATATGTATTACGTTATCCTGCTAAGCCTGATTATATTGTTACCCCTTAATACTATCATAGTGGTACCATTCGTGCTCTAATGCCTAGCATTTAACTTATTGTAGAATTGATGTGTCTTTATTAAACCATCCCAGAAAGTATAGATATCATCATATATTGAATATATTTTAATGCCTCATCTCCTAGTCTTAGTCCCTTTGTGCTCTTATAAGTTTGCTATCAAATTAATTTCTCTTTTAATCTTTTCTACTGTATACTTTGTGACCTTTATCTTTGTTATATTTCCCTTGCTGCTTTAGTTTCTGGCTTTGAGAGATGGGTGAGTTCTCTTCCTTGATGTGACTGGGGCAGGCATTGTCTGGGGAAACTGACTAGATCTGGCTCCTGTCCCTTGCCCATCCCAAAGAACTAACTGCTCCATTGTTTTTTCCTTTGTATCCTTTCCCTTCTGCTTCCGTGGCTCATGCAACGTGAAAATTCTGTGAGTTCTTTTTGTATAAGGTTCTTCGTAAATGTGTTGTTCATCATTCCTTAATACACTACTTTTGGGTGGCATGTAGTCTGGTACTAACACATCATGGCCCATATTCAACAACATTGCATATGTGATTTAACCCTAATAAATGAAATTTTGTGAATATTTCCAAAGAGCAGCATTTGAAGGCATGTTTAATATTACATTTCTTGCTATATTGATGATGCTTTAAAAATATTTAAATTACATTATTTACCTTTTAGGGACTAGGTAAGGAGGAATCCCAAAATGAAAAACAGATCAAGAGTCCTTTATTAACTTCAGAAAAGAGGCTGAATAGAGGGCCAACAAGATCATTGGACTTGAATAAAAATGAGTATCTTTCTCTGGACAAAAGCAGCACTTCAGATTCAGTTGATGAAGGTAAAGAATTTTTACATAAATTTTAATAAAATTTCAGATATGCTTTAATATTTTTGTCTTTGCATTAGCTATTGTATATGCAAACTGATAATTTAGATGTGTTATATATAATCTTACCCTATAAAGAACCAGAGGAGGAGTGAAATGTGTAAGAGGAGAAAGTGCTGAATCTAACCCATCTTCTTTAGTGGGCTATATGAAAATATCTATCACATATAGCTTATAAATTTCAAGCTTTGGGGCAGTGGAAGTGGAGCAGTGTCCTATAAGAGCAAGTCTGTCAGTAAAATCTTCAGGCCCATTCGTACATACCCCGCAGATTAAGGTGTTCCCGTTCCATAGGTAGAGTGATCTATTAATTTATTTGGGCTCTTGTTATTTTACTGGTAGGGAAAATAAGAATTAAAGAAGTTTGGTGTATTTTTTATTTTATTTTTTATGTTACCGCGGATTGAACTCAGGGCCTTGTGCTTGCCAGGCAAGAAGTTCAGTTTAAAACTGTGCAGTTAGTTGACCATCAGCGTCCTTGGGCACCTAGCTCCCTCCCAGAGGAGAGGACAGAAGGGGTGCCCAGAGCACCCTGTCTATACTTACTGGTTCTGTTGGTCACTTTGAAGCTTAAATAACAGAAATCTATTTTCTTGTGACTGTGGAAGCAAGAAGACCCAGATCAAGGTCCCACGAAGGTGGTTTTTGGTAAGGGCTCCTCTTGGCTTGTGCTAGCTCACAGAGGAGAGGGGAAGGAGTGCAGTGAGACAGGAATGAAAGAGATGAGCAAAGGTTGAGGAGAATAAAAGTGGAAAGTAGTTGTTTCAGAAAGTTGTACAGTGAATCATGTTCTCTCTACTTTTTCTAACCTAGTACCAATAACCTGGAGCTTGCATACTTATTAAAAAGCTATTTAAAGAAAATCTTTTAAAAAAATTTTGTGAGATCACTGATAACAAAGTCAGTGTAGTAACTGGGAAAGATCAAGGGTGGCATCTGCATTTCTGAGGCTAACATTCACGCTGTAGTGTGCAACAGGACACAAATGCGCTATCCCATCTGCCTGAACTTAGGACTTTAGGAAGATCGACTCTGGCACCCAGTGGCCAAGTGAGTAAGTGGCACCAAAGCAAGCATTTAATTCTTTTTCTTAACTATTCTTTTTCAAAGATGGTCCTGAAAATGTAGTTTCATTATCAAGTTCCTATAAAAATAGCATTAATGGCAAGTTGCAGAAGGGGCACTACATATCATAAAAGCTGCGTGCATGAAATGGACATTTCATTTGTGTACTGCATGAGCCTGATCATATTTCACTCTGTGCTTCTGCCCCTTAGAGACTGTCTAGCTTTCTAGCGATAGGAACTTACATGTGACTGTCAGTCTTCTGTTTATGGAGGTTTTCCTTAAAGTTTATGGGGTAATGGCTTTCCTTATGAAGTACCAATTAGATAACAAAACAAGTACTCCTGCTGCTTTCTTTAAAATCTCAGGCTTGTCAGATACTTTAAATACTCATAATAGTGAATCATTTTATTATAGTTATAAATTTATGGAAACAATTAGTGAGTAAATGATCTGGGGAGAAAATGAGAAAAGTCAAGAGAAGTAAACCATGGCAGGAAATTTGGAAATGGGTGGAGAATGGTTAGAGGGAGCTATTGGTGACAGATCATTTAAATCAAACATCTTTGTTTAAAATGAGAGTATTTTGATCTACTTTTGTAGAAAGCACAAAAGTGTATTAAGGATAAAAGTTTGTACTAATATTGTTTAGACAAGATATCATGTCTGCATCTTTTCCTCTGAATGACTACTACGAAGACAACAATATGCAATGTATTAATTTTTGTAACCATCCTACTAACTTGTTTTGAAACTATTTCATTGCTATTTTACCTTTTTTCTCATTAAAATGAATAAATTATTAGCAAAAAAGGTACAAAAGCAAAAATTATAGGATCTCTTCACTTTTTTTTTATTTATTTATTTATTTATTTATTTATTTATTTATTTGAGAGGGAGAGAGAGAGAGAGAGAGAGAGAGAGAGGCCAGCTCAGCCCACCAGGGGGCGGGCTGGCTGGCATGTGGTGCTGGGGGATTGAACCGCGGTCCCTGATGCTTTTTGCTAAGCTTGTTCTAAGTAGGTGCTTTAGACCACTGAGCCATCTCTCCAGCCCAGATCTCTTCACTTTTCTAGCACCCATACGCTATAGTTTGGGGAAGGAGCAATGGACTCCTTTGATGTGGACAATCTCTTTGATGTGGAGTCTAAATGAAGCCCAGGCAGGGGCAGTCAGACAAGAATTGTCTGGACTGGCATCTGCTGTAATGATCGCAGCTTAGAACCCACCAAGACTGAGAGTATATTACTGTGAAACATCTGGAGATCAGAGTTAGAACCATGAGTGGAAATAGATAAGCTTGCTGAGGGCGTGAGGCTTCTGGGTTACGTCATGGTGACAGGTCCTGGTCTAACAGCAAAGGCCCCCATGCCAGGAATGGTAGCTAAGTGTAGAGAAAAGAGCAGGCTGGGGGAGGGATACCTGTCTGTAGCAACGTGAGAATCCAGGAGCTTAGCTGATAGAATTCAGTGAATTAGAGGCAAGGCCAAGCAAAGGATAACAGGAATTAGAATATTAGAGAATTCTTACTAATTACTAAATAATGTAGGTGAAGATAAGTAGACCTCTGGTGCAAGCTAGAGAAAAAGTGATGAAATAGGCTCGCATGTCAGAGAAGCAGCTGAGAAGTTAAACCAGGTAACCCTGGCATAGTTATATCAGAATTTTGAACAACACACTCAGTTGAACTTGGTTTTTCAGTTGTAAATAATACCCTGAATAAAAAAGATTCAGATCACCAGTTTTTGGAAAATGGAAGATAAAATAGATTTTGTGTCCTTAGTCACTACAGTAAGCTTCAATCACTGATTTTTTTTTTGTGTGTGTGTGTGGTTTTTTTTTTTTTTTTTTGGCATCGATACCTGGTACATTTTTACATACCCTCAAAGAACTGGCAGCATATGTTTTGAGTTACAACCATGTCCATGTGTTTCTCCTACATTTATCTGTCTCACTTTATACAATTTTCTACTGGCCACTTGCAAGTTGATATGTTTCAAGTAGTATATTTTCTTTATAGTAACCTGCTGCTGGGTTGAACAATGTTCCTTTACTCATTTAAAAAATACCAAGGTGAAAAAAAACATAAAAAAAAAGAAGAGTGAGAAATTGTCAAAGACTTGAATAGACTCAGGAGACCTAACAAGGAAATGCAAAGTCGTGCTGTATCTTGGACTGTATCCTTGTATAGGAAAACAACTGGGAGGTGGGCAGGAAGAACAAATCCTAATTTAATCAACTGTAAATCCCAAATTATTCCAAAATAAAGTTTTTTGAAAGGTTGCATATTTAAAGTCCTACAAATAAAAGTGTATTATTCTTAGCATTTTCATTAGTAATTTATTAATTAAAAATAGTTACTTAACACTTTTTACGTGTCACATACTGATACACATCAGTGTTTTAAATCAACATATTCCCTACTCACATGGAAGTACAGGAGAGAAATAATAAACAAGTGAATTGGCCACCAGAAATGCAATGACAAATCAGGCTGGGTTCTGTGAAGCAATGAGCAGGATCAATAGAGTCAGCTATAGTTGTTTTGCTTTCTTTGTGTACATTTGAGTTATTTTTATAATGAATATAATACTTCTGTGTCAGCAAAAGCTATTTCCCAAGCCTAATGGGAAGTTACCTCACAAAACCTTAGCAAATTGCCTAATCTCAGTGATTCATTTCTATACGAAAGGAGCTATTACTTAAAATTGCAGTAAGTAGTTTTTTCCTTCCTACAGTATTGTTGCCGGGAGGAGGTAAATCGGTATATACTTGGTATCCCTAAGTTCTTTGTACTGGTGGCAAAACAGAGAGACAAGTCATTTAATGGAGATATAGGGGTAGGTGGGGGTTCAGCCACAGATAGGAGAGTATTCTGATTCATAGGCCATTGTCCTTTTATTTAACCAGACTACTTCCTGTGGATTAATATTGACAGATGATTTAGACAGGTAATTTGTAAAGCCTGATTCCAGAGATTTAGGGTGCTTTTGTTGTAGTTTTCCATTTAGTATTAATATAGCATGATCCTTGAAATAGTAATCCTAGCCTTTAAATAATTAAAATTTTGTGTTAGATTGCTTTTCACTATTGCCTTTATCCTGCCTAACTCCTATTCTTAGCTTCCTTGTTAAAAAAAATCTCTTCAATTCTTTCTGGAAGCGTAAAATAGAGGTTACATTTGTGTCCTCAGGAGGTGGAGTAGACTCCATACTCCAGACACATCCCTCACTGGCCATGGTAGCTTGGCAGTCCTCTCTGTGCCTCAGTCTCCTCATCTGTAAAACGGGAAGGATGATGGTAATACCACTTTTCTCAGAGGAATGCAGGGAGGATGGGTCAGTGTTTGTAAGGTGCCTAGCACAATAGCTGACATAGTAAGTATAATACAATTATGGGCTCTTTATCCAATGTTTTCAGGGAATAGAAGAGAAAGTGAGCAGATACTGTATCACTTCCTGCCAGTAGGTTTTTTTCATTTCATTTTATTTTTTTTAATGTATTTAGTACAGGGCCTACAGGGCTCACTACACAGATGGGGCTTATTATGATCCTCCTGTTTTCAGCCTCCTAAGCTGGGATTACAGGCGGATGCCACTGCGCCCAGTCTCAATCAAGGTCTCAGCACGCCCTGGGTTGGGGTTGGCATAGCATGCCAGGGATCAAACCCTGGTCCCTGCATCTGCCTAAGCAGGTGCTTTAATCCACTGAGCTATGTGGCTGGCCCTCCCATCAGTAGTTTTTGACATCATTGTAATTATCAAGTTCCCAGAAAAACATGTACTATTCCATTGGACATTAGCAGCCTTGAAAAATACCTTTCAGCCATCTTTCCATTCTTTTAATGTGTATTTGTTGGGCCTAGGTGATGATAGTGATCCTTGTTTTAGGGGATTTAATATCAAGTTGAAAAATTATTCAGGCTCATGAGTTAGTGAGTGTAGGAGAGATTATAGGCATGGGTGTCTTAACATTTACAGGAGGCCTAGCATTCATGGATAGGACTGGTAATGGCCACGCTGTATACTGTCCTACCCGCCACAGTATTGCCTTTATTAACTTAAGAAAATTATTTTGAGTGGTATGATATAGGAATTTGAAATAATTCCAGTTAAACATTTCTATAGCTTTTGCTTTCAACAATTGAATTATTGACCATATGTATGTGACTGCACATAGTAATATATGCTGTGTGTAAGTGTCTGATGCATATGTATGTAACTCTGATTTGGAGTTGTAAGAGGATCCTGAAGTGTGCTGATTGTTCTAATTAAAAACATTTTGTACTCATTCATAACAAAACACAAAACCTCTCAAGACTTTGAAATTACTTTCCTTAATTTCTTTTCTTTTGGTCTGTTTGTTTTTCTAGAAAATATTCCTGAGAAGGATCTTCAAGGAAGACTTTATATCAACCGTGTTTTTCATATCAGTGCTGAGAAAATGTTTGAATTGCTCTTTACTAGTTCACGCTTTATGAAGAGATTTGCCAATTCTAGAAATATAATAGGTTGGTCCTTGTGTTCTTACCCAATGATAAATATGTGTTTGTGGGGGGGGGGATTATATTAGCCTGAGGTCATTAGGCCTATCTGAATTGATTTATGTTGTCAGGGGAAAAAAGGAGACATACTTTGATTTTATTTTTGGTTATATGTAGATTAATATTTAAATGTTTGGTTAAATTCACGTGTGAACTGTGTAATTGTTCAACTAGGCAAAGTGCTACTTATAATGAAGCTCAGACTGTTTGGAAACTCAAGCTTCACTTATCATTAATATATGTGTTCACTCAGTTTAACCCAATTCAGAAGGGTTCTGTTGTGGAAAAACTGGATGCTGGTGGGGTATGGAATAGGCAGGCACCTTGCCAAGTGGTGTAACTGTGTCTACCACAAGCATGAGTTTTCTGACTCAGCAGACCTAGGTTTTCACATCAGATTATGGGCCCATGTAGCCAAGAGTGGTGGTCCATAACTATAATTCCAGTACCTGATAGGCTGAGACAGGAAAATTACTGTGAGCTGTAGAATAGCCTGGAATACACTGTAGATTCAAGACAGCCTGACTCATGTTTGACCAAAGCAAAAAAAAAAAAAAAAAAAAAAAAAAAAAAAGTACATGTACACTGTGACTGATATCTACTACATTATTTTTTTAAAAATGCCTGCAAGCTACAACATTCCAAGTATCAATCAGTAATAGAATAAACAAATTGTTTAAGTTTCCATAAAGGAATACTATGTACCAACACAACCAAGAACAAACTGCTGGCACTTAAAACAATACGAACAGATCCCACAGACATATGCTGAGAAAAAAAGTCAGACATGAGAGTATGTGGTATATATTTTCTTTATATAGAATTAGCATAGTATTTACACTTAGCATAGTTAGCACAGTATTATTGTGAATCCAGTAGGTAAAGAATGGGAGGGAGCTTTGGCGATACTGATAGAAGTTCCACTTCTTCATTTTAGTGGTGAGGCATGTATGTGTTTCCTTTGCTAACATGGAGCTGTATACTTGCTGTTACAGTATCTATGGTACACTTTAATGAACAAGTTCAACAGGTTTATTTTGGAAAATGCTTAGACACATAAGGATTTCATTTATCATGCCTTAGATATTCTATTGTGATAAATACTACAAATAAGCTTATAGTTAGTTTTGAAATAAATTTATCCTAAGTGTTCCCAGATACTTTATTAATTTTGGGGGCATGTGGTTTACCTTGCTATATAATTAGAAGATAGCAGCAACAGAGATTCATATAAAGTAAGCTATTTGACATATCAATGGAAAAGTTCTCCTCTCATCAACTTAAATATAGCACATAATCTAGATTTGTATCTATAGTTTACATTAAATTATGTAATTTTATCAATAAGTAGATGTTATTCCTTTATATGAAATTTTTACATAATTATATACTTACAGATGATGTCATGAATATGGGTTGTAGATGCAAAAAATCTTTTTTTTTTTTTACTATTTATAGTAGAATAGCAAGAGATTTCTAATTGACAGATATGGATTCTTGTGATTATATTAAGAATTTCAATATTAGGATGAACTTCACTTAGGTATTTTAGGATTGACTGTTCCAATATTATGTTAATTTGGTAATCTTGTGGCAAATGATACTCATTTGGCCTTGCTGGTAACATTAGTAAAAATGCAAGTGTAATAAACATGGCAGAATCGCTATTTTTGTTTGATCCTTATTGATTGTTGCTTTATTGCATAGTATAAAGTTCTGACAGCAGAGTTCAGTGGTATCTTTCAATTCCATTTCTGTTGAACAGTGGCTTACTTGTATCATTTTCATGGTATAAGCTGACATATGACTCAATAATCTTGAAGATGATTTCAGATAGCCAAGGATGGTGGTACACGTCTGTAGCCCTAGCAGGTAGGAAACTGAGGCAGGCAGATTGCTGGGAATTTGAGGCCAGCCTGGGCTACATAGTGACTTAAATATCAGCCTGAACTATGTAGTAAGACCTTGTCTCAAAATAATAACAAAATAGTATTTTAGAATTAATTGTATGTTTTTATTTCATGTACACCTAAATAAATCACTTTTACAGTAAATTCTGGTTGATAAATTTCATGCCTTATGATGTTTTTACTTTGATTTAGTTGTACAGTTTTTCCAGATACTGAAAAGGTAGTTTCAGGATCCCTCATTAAGTCCCTAGACCTAGCTGTATAAGAGAAGGTAAATAAAATTGTCTGTATCCTATAGCCTTGCTTCATCCTTTTGATTGTGGTTAATGGGGGAGATAAAGGCTCCTATACTTAAGAATTTGGTGAACAGCTTCCAAACACGCTGAATAATTGCCTATATCCATTTGTGTAGTGGCATTAGGTAATCTGCTTAGGCCTTTGAGTGGAGTACATAATGCTTTTATCTGTACTTAACTAATTTTTGACTTGCATGAAATGATCTTCACTGTTTGGTGCTGTTCGAAAGCTATTTTTCTACTCAAAATGGGTACTCATTCTGTTATTCCTAAGTAAATAAAAGAGCATTTGGCTAAGTTCTGCCAAAAACATAGGGAGATTATCCTATAGTCTTGTTAATATAGAAAGTTATATGAAATATAGGCATTTGTATGTTGTCATCTCATCTTGATGAGAGATTTTGGCAGACAAGACACTAACACCCATGATTTCTCATAACACTGAGAAGAGTTCTCCATAGGTGGATAGTGAAGGCTAGTGACAAATGCCTTTCAAAGTTTTGTCCTCCATGATGGCATACTGACGTGTTATTTTGTCCCTCTCCATAAGTCCTAGGAACTTTAAAGAGGAGCCTACAGATGAAGTAGCTTTTATCTTCTACAAAAGAAAAAATTCGTTAACAGGCAAGAACTTAGAAATAAGTGTTTCAGAGATGTGTACATGTTATATTTAAGAAGAGTTTCTCCCATTTCATCTCTCTTTAATGTTAAGCATATAGTTTTAAGGGGTTAGGACTGGTCAACAATAAAAATTTAATTTTAAATCTACACCTCTGATTCCATTTGAAGTCATATCCTTCACATTTCTAGAGCTAACTTCTTTTATGTTTGCTGTTACTAGATGTGGTATCTACTCCTTGGACTATAGAATCTGGAGGTGATCAACTGAGAACCATGACCTATACAATAGTCCTTAATAATCCCCTTACTGGAAAATGTACTGCTGCTACTGAAAAGCAGGTTAGTCTATTCTCATAGTATTCCAAAAGAATCATGCATATGGCCAGAGAGAGCATGCCTGTCATAGTCAGTTTACAAGATAATTTAAATAAAGAAGTGACAAGGGAAAAAAAGGGAGAAGAGAAACTGTTACAGATTAATAGAGGCATATAAAACCATTATCAACCCAATCCTAATCCAGTAAAGTTATTTATGAGATTTGAGGACTTGTTACCTAGTTATGTGTAATATAGTATTGCTTGTTTTAACAACTGCTTACTTTTTAAAGTGATATACTGAAGACTTCAAAAAGAAATGTTCCTGTTTGTGGGTGAAATTATACTGATGCCTGGAATTTCTTTTAAAACTCTAGCCAAGCAGAGGATGGTGGTGGGGGAAGGAGTTTGGGAAGGACAACAGAAGGAACAAGACCAGGCAGTGGTTAGTTTGGAGTCGGTTGATGAGTCCATGAGGGTTCATTATGCTTAATTTCTATTCTTGTGCATGTTTATGCTTTTTCATAATAAAATATCTTAAAAGTATATTTCTAAAATCTAATTTACAGAATCATGTAAAGAGTTGGGGCCAAATAGCTAGAATGTTACTATGGGACGAGACTGACTTCACAAAACTAAACATTAGCTATTGAATCCTCTTCTTTAGTAACTGTGTGTTCTCACTTCACGTGGAGTTGTGTTAAAGTGCAGTGTGCATCTGCTTTGCAGCTAATATTAATATCCCAGCTTGGCTTGCTCTTGCAGTTTTGTGCATAAGTGTTTAAGATGTGATTTAATTTTTTAAAAAAGTTTAAGGATTGCTAAAAATACAAAAGAAGTTTGGTTTTTGGTAGATTGGAATTTTTGATAGCCATTGAATCGCCCTCCTCCCTTCGGAGACAGATAGGTAGAAAATATGTGGTTAATATGAGAAAAGTTTGGAACTGGGGATATAGTTCAGTGGCACAGCATCTGCCCGACAAGCATGAGGTCCTGTGTTCGATTCCCTGTATCAAAATGAGAAAGGTCTATTTAGCTGACAGTCATTTTAGGTCCTGTTTAAGTGATGTTTTATTCATTTGCCCCTATTCCTTTATGTGTGTGTGTGTGTGTGTGTGTGTGTGTTTCTGTGTAGAGGGGAGGATGCTTTTAATAAACTTTTATGAATTTTGGTGGAGGCCCTCATTATTATTCAATTGATTTTTGAATTACCCCTTAAATAGGAAGTTATAAAACACGTTTCCTTCCTCTTTCTTAAGCCTAGAAGAGAGTATCGATTGTCTAGTGAAATGGCAGAGTGGCAGCTCCTCTCTTTCTGCAGGTCTTTTCACAGTTCATAGCAACACAGCCAGCACGGGGGCTTTTGTAGCTTGTATATAGACTTCTGTTGTCTTGTAATCTTTGAGAAAGAATTCTAGTATTGCCACATTGCCAAGAAACATAAAATGTTAAAAATGTACATGCAAGCTTTTTTAAATCTTTATTTTGGCAGACACTGTATAAAGAAAGTCGGGAAGCACAATTTTATTTAGTAGATTCAGAAGTACTGACCCATGATGTCCCTTACCATGATTACTTCTATACCCTGAACAGATACTGTATCATTCGGTCTTCAAAACAGAAATGCAGGCTAAGGTGAGATCCTGCTAACGGGTGTGTTAGACTAGGCTCAATATGCTTTGGAAATGTTAAAAAATTCTGAGCTACATAACAAAGATTTATTTTTGCCTAAGTTACATGTCCAGGAACAAGAGGGTTGTGGCTGTTCACCCAGGACTATCTGATGAAGGTTTTAATCATCCTGTGCTACACAGTCCAGAACAAGAGCATTTCAGTTGCTAATAGAAAGCTGTAGTAATGTGCTCATAGTTCGTTGGACCTGGCACACGGCCCTGTTCACAAGGCAGGAGGGCTGGGAGTTCTGGGGGAGCACATGGTGAACAGTAGCTGCTGCAGTAGGGAGGGAGGCCTGTTGGTGCATCAGGAGCAACAGGCCCATCCTAGTTATTGTAGTTACTTTCACCTAATATGTGACTTCTAGAGATTTTTCATATAAGATATTTAGAAAATTTAGCATATATTTGGAGCTTTGCTTACTAAGGCAGATTCAGGGTTACAGGAAGTAAAGTAACAAAATGGCATGTACTTAGGAAGACAACTTGTTGAAATTATTAGCAGCTCATAGTAGTTTTTAAAGAAATCACCAGTAGACAAGTTTTTTTTTATAGCTCTAATGACTTTGCATCCTTTTGGCTTTCTATGTATAATCACCTTCTATTTAATTACAAGGTCTGTCCTTAAATATGTTATCTTTTTTTCTTATCCTATTAGAGTTTCCACAGATTTAAAGTACAAAAAACAACCATGGGGCCTGATCAAATCTTTAATTGAGAAGAATTCTTGGAGTTCACTGGAGCACTATTTCAGACAGCTTGGTTTGTATACTTTTTGATAACTCTGTTTTTGTAAAGGTAGCACTTACCAATGACATAGTAGGAGCTGGTAGGTAGTGTCAGAATGACTGTCCCTGAAATGGTTGTTTCTGACTTGCCAACTTGTTCTACCACCTGTGGGATTTCAAAACTTTCCATTTTTGTTTGTCTAAGCAACTCTTATATGGTGCTTATATATACACCAGGCACACAAGATTTTATATGCTTTACAAATATGAACTCGTTTTGTACTCATAACAGTCCTTACAAGTAGGTATAATTCTTTTTTTCCATTTCATAAGTGAAATTAAAAAAATGTCACATGGTTAAGTGACATCTATGGCCACACACTTAAGAGCTATTATGTTCTTTGCCTCTGGAAGGACCCAAGAAAGCTGACTGCAGTGAGGACCAGCTCACATACACTCAGATCTCAAAGACCCCAATAATACTTGGGCACAAACCCCCTTTAGGGTGCAGCTTTCCTGGGCCTATACAAACCCACTAAACAGTGGTATCACATATATATGTGGATTTAGTGGAGGTGGGACCGGGATTTGATTCCTGGCATCCTGTGCCTGCCCCACCTCTGGGACACGCTGAGACAGTGACTTAGACTGGGAGTGGTGACATATGCCTATAATCCCAGTGCTTGGGAGGCTGAAAACAGGAGGATCACTACAAGGCTGATCTGTGTAGTGAGACCCTGTAGACCTTGTACTAAATACATTTAAATATATATATATATATATATATATATATATATATATATATATTATATATATATATATCCCCATAATTTTAGTTGAGGAAAAGCTGGAGTCAGTGCCCAGGCTATCTTAAGATTTTATTGTTTAAGCCAGGTATGGTGGTGCACACCTATAATTCCAGCAATTGGGAGGCTGCAGTAGGATTACCATTAGTTCAAGACAAGCCTGGTTTATTACATAGTGAATTCAGGACCCCCCTCAAAAAAAAAAAAAAGATTTTATTTTTTACTTTATTGCTTATTTATTTTCCTAGCCTTTCTCTCTTTAGCTGTTTCAGTGTTAAACACATTGGACACACACACACACACACACACACACACACACACAAATGACAAAAAAAAAAAGCATTTTCTGGCGGTTTGCAAATTTCCTTTACAAGTGCTTTCTTTCTTGTAAATCCTCATTGAAAAGTAGAACTGTTGTGTTCTATTCTTTCCTTTGAGTTGACAAGGAACATAACCTGTTGTGGAAATCCTTTTAATGATCCAGTGTAAGTGGGTACCCTGCTCATTCCGTAATGAAACTATTACATTAATATTTAACATAGCGCATAACATACTTGCACTGTTGTCCCTCTTTTTAACATACAGTCTTCATTAAACAGTGAAATTTCATCATGGCATTATTGTACCTGTAAAGCTTTTTATTAAAAGTAAAGTTTGAATCTAGGCCCTAAGAACCTTAGAAATAATTTTTTTTTAAGTTATCAAGGCTTAAAAATAAACCTTATAATAGAAATTTCGCTATATTTAAAGATTTTTTTCTTTAAAAAAAACCCATTTCTTAGAATCAGAGTTGTTAATGGAAGAATCTGTATTAAATCAGTCCATTGAAGATGCTGGAAAACTTAGTGGCCTGAGAAGGAGAAGGCGAACCATCAACCGAACAGCAGAAACAGTTCCGAAACTTACTTCCCCTCATTCTTCTGGAGATATGAGCTTAGAGACCAGAGGGGATATTCCAGGTAGCTGTCATTGTAAACAGATGAACTAGCTCAGCTTATTTACAAGTCAGTTAGGAGCACTGAATTTCTCCCCTTCCTTTTGATAACCTTTATCATATTCAGTTACTGAAAATTTGCATATAAGCACAAAGGAACAGTTGCAAAATGGCAAGCATATGACCAATAGTAGTAATTTATTTGATTCACACAGCTATTTATTTATTTATTTATTTATATGTTTATTTGTTTATTTTATGGGGAATCAAACTCAGGAGCTTGTGCTTGCTAGGCAGTGCTTGTGCCACTGAGCAATCTCCCAGGTGCCACATAGCATTTGAAATTTTTTTTTAATCTTTTGCTAATTTATTTGGTACAGGGTCTCATGTAGTGATCCTCCTGTCTCAGCTTCCCCAGCGCTGGGATTACAGGCATCCACCACCATATCTGGTTTCAGTGGCCGCCATGGTGTGCCCAGGCACAGCATGTAGTACTGGGGATCAAATCTGGGTCCTTGCGCTTGCCAGGCAGTGCTTAGACTGCCGAGCTATCTCCCCAACCCCCAAGTAGCATTTCTTATTTATTTATTTTTTATTATTTTTAAAAACAATAATTTTATTGCTTTATAATTTTATTTTTATTATTATTTTTATTATTTTATTCTTTTCTTTTCTTTTTTTCAGTATCAGCGATTGAACTCAGGACCTTGTACTTGCCAGGCAGGCACTTATTCTGCTGACCCATCTCCCTGGCCCTCCACATAGCATTTTAAAATTGGAGATTTTTATATAAAAACTCAGATCTGACAACTCACCAGATCTCTTCAGGCACAGTTGGCTGGAATTTTTTGTACTCCTTAGGGGGCCTCAGACCCACCACAGCCACCAGTCTCCCACTTCCGGGCTGCTGTATTTCTGCCCAGCGTCCACAGACGGTTGATGTCTACCTTTGAGTGCACTGCTTTTGGGTACTTTCAGGTCCAGCCTCAGGAAACTATAAAGATGAAATTTGACTTTTATTATCCCTACTCTCCAAATTGTGAAGACATTTTGCCCCTACTAACTGTTGTTCTCTCTTTCACAGCTATAAAGCTGTTGTACCTTCACACCTTCTTAACATTATCACATTCTTTTTAGGCTTATATTTTTGTGTGAATGTATTTATTCACTATTGAAGTTTAGGCAACAGTGAACAGATAAGGATTTTTTTCAAGGAGTGAAACACTACATACACAAAGCTCAGTTATTATATGCAGAGATAGTACTTAGCTGTATACCACATATGCTGTATTGAATTGCTTATTTAATTTTAGGGTAAATTATAATCAGAACTTGATTGCTGTAGGTTTTCTCATTGTAGACATGTTTCCAATTAAAATACCAGAAACAAAAAAAAGAGGTGCAGGGAATTTTCGCAAAAGTACTTTGTCTTTACAAATAATTTTAAAAAATTTTCTTTTCTAATGAGTATTAAATTTTTACCAGTTTTAGTCGCAGTCCTCTGATACAGCCTTTTGTTTGTGATCTACAGGAAAGAAAAAGGAAATAGAAAGTGTTAACATTGCTCTCATTGTGGTGATGAGTATTTTGTAAGTATTTATCATGAATCCTTATTTTGCTTGTGTGTTCATTTATGTGTAAGTGGTTCCCAAATGAATATTACTGGATAGAAATTACCACTAGTTGATGAATGTTGACCTCCCAATAGAATATTTTTTAATTTATGATTTTCAGTATTATTCACTTTGAAGTAATATAAAGTACACAGTTAAGAAATTTATTTTGTAACCAATCTGGCTTATGTCTACTATCATAGTTTTAACAGGAAATTTCATAAATTTAAAGCAAATATTTATATATACATGCTGATAAAATCCCCCACAATTCTGTTTTACCCTCAGTGATTCTTATATTTTACTGTGCATAACAATCACTTGGGGAGCTTGCTAAAATTCAGATTTCTTAGCCCTGACTCACAGAGATTGAAGAAAATGCTTTGAGTCAACAGACCTTAAGTCTAGGGATTAGGAATCAATATTTTAAAACATACTTCAGGTTATTCTGATGCAGACACTACAAGTAACACATGGTGAAAAATAATGGGGCAATTAGTCTGAATTTCAGGGGACACTGTAGAAATCTATTTGGTCAATCATATTTAGAGTACTAATATCCTAATGGCTCTGTATTAATCTTTTGCTTTTTTTGGTGGAACCAGGGATTGAACTCAGGCCCTTGCGCTTGCCAGGCCAGTGCTTATTTCACTGAGCTATCTCCCTGGCCCTGTATTAATCTTAACAATGAGAGTAATCTTAGTCTCTTAGATCAATTGAATTGGTTGACACAGTGATACATTCTGAGTAGTAATTGGAATGGGACTCTTTTTTTGTTGGGGGGGAAGGGTATTACTCTGCAGTTCAGGCTGGACTTGAACTCACTTTGTAGCCCAGGCTAGCCTTTAATTTAGGGGGATCCTTCTGCCTCAGCCTCCCAAGAGTGGGGATTACAGCCTTGTACCACTATGCCCAGGCTGGAATGAAACTCTTACCTTAGTTTATCTCATTATAAATTTTAGAACATAGAAAATATTTGTTATTCCTTTGAGGGTTTTTTTTTTTTAATGAGCAGAATATTTTTATTGAAGGAAAGCAAGCTACTGTCCGAGAGAGGGACAGGAGGGTCCCCGAGCAGGTTGTTCCCTCCTTTGAGTTTTATAGAAGTTCTATATTCTGTTCTGGGTTTTTTTTTAACAGCAAATTTGTAATATTATTAATGTCATTTTGCATTACTCTGCAGAAAATTTATACTCAAATATTGAAAGTACTGATTTACATACTATTTTAAGGCCACAGTAAATTCTTAGATTTTCCTGCTAGTCTTAGGTTTTTCTCCTTAAATGTTCTTTTCTTTAATTATATAAATACCTCATATTGACCTTGGTGTATACTATCTATCTATATCTATATCTATGGCCCTTGCTTGGGAAAGTGGTCTACCACTGACCTACATCCAAAGCTCTATTATATATATTTTTAAAGTAAGTTAATATTTTAACAGAAAATGATAAGTAGAGAGATAATGATGCCACCTATATATTTCCATATATGTCTAATAAGGTGTGCATCCATTTACTTGAATGTCTGCAGTGAAAACCAATACATTAAATTCATTTAATGTGTTTTATTGTTGTTTTTCTTTTTTCTGTATTAAGGATTGAACCTAGGGCCCTGTGTATGTTAAGCAGGAAGTCTACCACTGAGCCAAAGCCTTAGCCTCAGTATTTATTTATATATATTATGTGTATAGTAACGTATGAATCCATTCACTTGAAAATTTGCTGTGAAAACCAGTACACTAAGTGCACTTAGCATGTAGCATTTTGTATTTGATATCATTAATGCATATTTGGGATTTCTTTGCCCATTATGAATGAGAATAAACTTTCACTGTATATACATATATATATTTTTTTTCTTTCCTTCTACTGGGAATAAGTTGCGTCACAATCTACCGAAGATCAACTTTATATTGATCTTCATTTCCTTTTTGAAATGCAGCATTATGAGCACATAATTGCTGAAGCCAAAGTACCCAAAAATATCCTGAAAGCTTACCTGGTAGATTTTGAGCTGGTGGTCCACATCAACACTGGCTGGAAGTGCCAGCAGAGAATGTCCAAGACAAACTCAACCTGCGAGTTGGGGATATTAAGGATTTTTATTGTTACTTGTTACTTTGTTTAGCATCCATTAATGCCTTACTTATTTTGTATAATAAAACAAGGATAATTTATTTAAATAATAGGACAGTGCTCTGGATCATATACATTTTTCAAGCTTTGCATGTATATTCTGCATTAGCAGTGCACGAGACCTGGGTAACTATAGATTAACCATGTGTAATTTGCTCGGCCTAGTTTGATGTTGCTAGTTTTGTTGAATGTGACACTGTTTCTGAAGCTGTCCAAGATTGAATATGCTGCTCAGTCCTTTTACCGTCTCCACCTTCAAGAAGAGAAATCTCTGAAGTAAGTCTCCCACCTCCACATATTTCACCATATTATTTCAGTAGTTTCTTTCTTGGAACAGAAACATGGTCTGGGTTTTTACCAAAACCATTCCAGACTGACTTGGAAGAATGCATGATAGAGGTTTTCTTGTTTTCTTTTTTCAAACTCGGGACCTTGCACTTGCCAGGCAGGCACTTAAGCTGCTGAGCTACCACCCCAGCCCTGAGCTA